TCGATTATAAGATAGAGAACCCCACCAGGATGTGTAACATCAATCGCTGTAACATATATCAGAAATCGTTAATGGTCTTAGGTCTGAACATTTTACATATAAAGAAGCTTTGGAAGGTTCTTGAAAAACCACATTAAAAAAATCCACATCTATTGCCACATAGGTCCTTGAAAAAATCTATTTAAAAATCCACGCTTATTGCTTAATAGGTACTTGAAAAAATCTATTAAAAAATCCACACCTACTGCTCTAAGGGTCGTTGAAAAAATCCATACTTATAGCTTGATAGGTCCTTGAAAAAAATCTATTTAAAAAATCCACGCTTATTGCTTGGAAGGTCCTTGAAAAAAATCTATTTAAAAAATCCACGCTTATTGCTTGGAAGGTCCTTGAAAAAAATCTATTTAAAAAATCCACGCTTATTGCTTGGAAGGTCCTTGAAAAAAATCTATTTAAAAAATCCACGCTTATTGCTTGGAAGGTCCTTGAAAAAAATCTATTTAAAAAATCCACGCTTATTGCTTGGAAGGTCCTTGAAAAAAATCTATTTAAAAAATCCACGCTTATTGCTTGGAAGGTCCTTGAAAAAAATCTATTTAAAAAATCCACGCTTATTGCTTGGAAGGTCCTTGAAAAAAATCTATTTAAAAAATCCACGCTTATTGCTTGGAAGGTCCTTGAAAAAAATCTATTTAAAAAATCCACGCTTATTGCTTGGAAGGTCCTTGAAAAAAATCTATTTAAAAAATCCACGCTTATTGCTTGGAAGGTCCTTGAAAAAAATCTATTTAAAAAATCCACGCTTATTGCTTGGAAGGTCCTTGAAAAAAATCTATTTAAAAAATCCACGCTTATTGCTTGGAAGGTCCTTGAAAAAAATCTATTTAAAAAATCCACGCTTATTGCTTGGAAGGTCCTTGAAAAAAATCTATTTAAAAAATCCACGCTTATTGCTTGGAAGGTCCTTGAAAAAAATCTATTTAAAAAATCCACGCTTATTGCTTGGAAGGTCCTTGAAAAAAATCTATTTAAAAAATCCACGCTTATTGCTTGGAAGGTCCTTGAAAAAAATCTATTTAAAAAATCCACGCTTATTGCTTGGAAGGTCCTTGAAAAAAATCTATTTAAAAAATCCACGCTTATTGCTTGGAAGGTCCTTGAAAAAAATCTATTTAAAAAATCCACGCTTATTGCTTGGAAGGTCCTTGAAAAAAATCTATTTAAAAAATCCACGCTTATTGCTTGGAAGGTCCTTGAAAAAAATCTATTTAAAAAATCCACGCTTATTGCTTGGAAGGTCCTTGAAAAAAATCTATTTAAAAAATCCACGCTTATTGCTTGGAAGGTCCTTGAAAAAAATCTATTTAAAAAATCCACGCTTATTGCTTGGAAGGTCCTTGAAAAAAATCTATTTAAAAAATCCACGCTTATTGCTTGGAAGGTCCTTGAAAAAAATCTATTTAAAAAATCCACGCTTATTGCTTGGAAGGTCCTTGAAAAAAATCTATTTAAAAAATCCACGCTTATTGCTTGGAAGGTCCTTGAAAAAAATCTATTTAAAAAATCCACGCTTATTGCTTGGAAGGTCCTTGAAAAAAATCTATTTAAAAAATCCACGCTTATTGCTTGGAAGGTCCTTGAAAAAAATCTATTTAAAAAATCCACGCTTATTGCTTGGAAGGTCCTTGAAAAAAATCTATTTAAAAAATCCACGCTTATTGCTTGGAAGGTCCTTGAAAAAAATCTATTTAAAAAATCCACGCTTATTGCTTAGGAGGTCCTTCATAAATTTTTCTTTAAAAAATCCACGCTTATTGCTTAGGAGGTCCTTTATAAATTTTTCTTTAAAAAATCCACGCTTATTGCTTAGGAGGTCCTTGAAAAAAATCTATTTAAAAAAACGCTTATTGCTTGGAAGGTCCTTGAAAAAAATCTATTTAAAAAATCCACGCTTATTGCTATTTAAAAAATCAACACTTATTGCTCCATAGGTCCTTGAAAAGATCTATTTAAGAAATCCACGCTTATTGCTTGGAAGGTCCTTGAAAACAATCTATTTAAAAAATCCACGCTTATTGCTTGGAAGGTCCTTGAGAAAATCTTTTTAAAAAATCCACGCTTAATGCTCTGTCTATTTAAAAAATCCACGCTTATTGCTCTGTGGGTCCTTGAGAAAATCGTTTTAAAAAATCCACGCTTAATGCTCTGTGGGTCCTTGAAAAAATCTATTTAAAAAATCCACACTTATTGCTCTGTGGGTCCTTGAGAAAATTTGTTCTGTGGGTCCTTGAAAAAATCTATTTAAAAAATCTACGATTAGGTCCTTAAAAAAATCGTTTTACAAAATCCAGGCTTATTGCTTGGTAGGTCCTTGAAAAAATCTATTTAAGAAATCCACGCTTATTGCTTGGTAGGCTCTTGAAAAAATCTATTTAAAAAAATTCACGCTTATTGCTGGGTAGGTCCTTGTAAAAAATCTACTTAAAAGCAGTAAGGAAAGTAGTAAAGTCGGGCTGGGCCGATTATATGATACCCTTCACCACTTAGGGTATATTCTACATATGTATCTGAAAAGACGTCGCTGCACTGTTTAAAATTTAATCTCAATCAGACAACCATTGATAATTTGGTGTACAATTAACATAAATAAGTCGAAATTATATATGGAACTAAGTTATATCTATATCTGAACCGATTTCAAGCAAACCTGCCAGAGATTAATTTATATTAACTTCAGTAATCGGCCTAGCTATGGATCTTTAGTGCACAATATAATACTTAAAACCATAACATCATTCTAGACTTAATTTAGTACGCTATGCCAAAATTCTTGCCAATCAAAAGATTTGCAGAGATTTGCTGCACCATTTACATAAAATCGGGCGAAACTATATATGGAAACTATATCTAAATCTGAACCGATTTTCACGAAATTTAGCACACATAATTCTAGACCTAATTCAGTGGGCTATACCAAATTTCGTGCAAATCGAAAGATATATAGGGACTTTGGGACACCATTTACCTAAAATCGGGCGATACTAAATATGACAGCTATATCTAAATCTGAACCGATTTTCACGAAACTTGGCACAAGTCATTCTAGACCTAATTCAATACGCTATGCCAAAATTCGTGCAAATTAAATCATTTTCAGGGACTTTGGAACACCATTTACCTAAAATCGGCCGCAACTATATATGGGAGCTATATCTAAATCTGAACCGATTTTCACGAAACATAGCATACATCATTTTAAACGTAATTCAGTAGGCTATACTAAATTTCGTGCAAATCGAAAGATATATAGGGACTTAGGTACAACATTTACGTAAAATCGGGCGATAGTATATGGGAGCTATATCTAAATCTGAACCGATTTTCCCGAAACTTAGCACATGTCATTCTAGACTTAATTCAATACGCTATGCCAACATTCGTGCAAATCAAATCATTTTCAGGGACTTTGGTGCACCATTTACCTAAAATCGGCCGAAACTATATATGGAAAATATATCTAAATCTGAACCGATTTTCACAAATCGTGAGCTGTGCCAAATTTTATCCAAATCGGATCATAAATGCGACCTGTACTTTGTTTACAATTTTACATCAATAGACGGACGGACGGACATGCATAAATCGACTCAGAAAGAGATTCTATGCCTGTTATCCGATTCCTTTTGCCTGTTACAAACATATGCACAAAGACATAATACCCTGTACTACAGTGTGGTGAAGGGTATAAAAATACACGTATAATTTTGGGTCCTTGAAAGGCGTCATTAGTCCTGTAAAAAATGTTAGCTCACAAATATATTTGTTTCGCTTCTCTTATGTTCTTTAAGCGACATGCTGTAAATTATCGCCATAAATATTTCAAATACAATTTAAGGACTCAACAGTTCTCACACCACTGCAGTTGGTGGATCTGGCCCGGAGACAGACACCCATCGTTCAATTCATTCTACATAGATCTGCAACCAATTGACAAGGTGCAAGCTCCTAGTGCTTTTGTGTTACCTTTCGATTGTGGCAGAGAACCTCCTCAATTTGTGTGTTTGGCTGTGTGTGTTTTAAGGATGCAATGATTGTCGCTGCTGGTATAGCAACACCATCGGCGGCAGCAGCAGCAGCAGTCGTTCTTTCGGGGCCACAATCAAATTGTGGTTACAAACAATTGAGTCACCCGTCCCGCACATTTTGCAATGGCAATGAACTCTTTAGTCATTTTGTTGTTGGTGTTGTTGTTAAGTTTCACTGTATGTGGTCCTGGTTCATGGCATTGTTATCTGTTTGCATCCTGGCCATATCTGCCATTTTGGTGGGCTTGTTGTCGTTGCTGCTGTGAATGATAATTGTGATGTGGCTGTCGATATTGCCTCCATGTTGTTGTGATTGCATTTGGTGCTCGCTCATTCGGTTGCCTGCCAGCCGGCCTGATGGCCTCCAGCCTGGTTGTTAAGTGACAAAATTGTTATTTTCACTTGTGGCGACAAATGTACTTTAAATTACAATCTTCATAAATTATAGACTACCGTTCGCATTCGCCATTCGATAGAGAGAAATACTTTTTGACTCATTTTCACTTTTATCCATTGTGCGGGATGCGGGGAGGTGTGTAGTTTTTGGGGATATTTAATGGCTTTTTGATGACAAAGCGAAACGTGTTCACTGCTAAATGCGTTCGATGGTTCAAATAATGAAATTTATTTCGATTTTTCATTCATTGCAAAATCAAATGTCTAATTTAATGGAATGTAAATTATTTGGTATTTAGGGGTCAAGTGGATTTTTGACAAATCAATTTTAAGCGACTTAAAAATATTTTTGATACCCATCAATAGGCGTGGATTTTTAAAGAATATTTTTGCCAGCCTGAACCAATCAATAGGCGTGGATTTTTAAAGAATATTTTTGCCAGCCTGAACCATTCAATAGGCGTGGATTTTTAAAGAATAGTTTCAAATCATGATTTTTAATTTTTCCTTTTTATTTTTTTATTTCATTGACATTCTTTTTGACATTTTGATCCGCAAACCCTCTTTGGGCACCAACACTGGTGCCGAGTGAAATACAAATTCAACTTCTTTGCGTGGCATTTCCTCAATATTGAAATTGGCCAGAATTTTCACCAAGGCTATTTTGGCATTCATGACACCCATACGTTGAGCTGCAAGAGTTCAGATACAAATAGTAAATAGAATTTTAAAATTATTTTACTTTCCCTACCAATGCAATGCCTAGGACCTTCTCCGAAGGGCATGTATGCCATAGGGTTGTAATTCGTTTCAGTAAACCTCTCCGGTTTGTAGTCCAGTGGATCGGGAAACAATTCAGGATCTCTGTGCATACCCCATAGTGATATGAAAATTGGTGTACCCTTCGGTATGGTGAGGTCACTTCGAGGTATATGATAATCTTGGGTACATTCACGATTTAGAAATGGCAAGCCCGGATATTTGCGGGTGGTTTCTAAACAGAAAAATTGGAATATTATAAACACATATTGACAATGACAGCCCCTCCCCCACTTACCCTTAACACACAAATCCAAATATTTCATATCTTGGATAGCATCATAAGTCAAAGAACCCTGCGCTTTCAATCCGTGTTTCTGCAGAATATCATCGATTTCAGTTTGAAGCTTTAGCAACACCTTCGGATTCATTGCTAGGTCATAAAGAGTAAATGCTGTTGCTGCCGATGTTGTTTCCGAACCGGCAATATAAAATAGAAAAGCATTTGCAGCTATAACATCTATGGACATTGCCTTCAGATTATCTGCGGTGGTCTCAATTGACCAATTTGTATCATTGTCATCGGTGATTTTCCCTGTATTCCTCAATTGAATCAAAAGCTGCAGAAGATCACGGCGTACAACACCATTTTGTTCACGAAATTCAATTGTCTCTTTCATAATATCGCGTAGACGACATAAAACTGGATCCTCAAGACCCAAGCGGGTTAAAAGTTTTACAATGCTGGAATCGGAATATTTTTAATTGCATTTTATTTCGAAGGTGTTTAATACATACGGTGGATATATGAAGACCATCAGGGTTCGAAATTTAATTAGTACGGAAGACTTCTCAGTATTGAAAATTCGATCACTTAAATCACGAAACTCATTATCGGGATATTTGAAACTGTCAACATTCAAACCAAATATTACCGATCCGATGACATCAATGGTATAGCTAGAAATTTTACAAGATATTCATTAAAAATGCACGCCTATAGACCTTTTAGGGCTGGCAAAAATATCCTCTAAAAAATCCACGCCCATAGACCTTTTAGGGCTGGCAAAAATATCGTCTAAAAATCCACGCCTATAGACCTTTTAGGGCCGGCAAAAATATCGTCTAAAAATCCACGCCTATAGACCTTTTAGGGCTGGCAAAAATATCCTCTAAAAATCCACGCCTGTAGACCTTTTAGTGCTGGCAAAAATATCCTCTAAAAAATCCACGCCTATAGACCTTTTAAGGCTGTCAAAAATATCGTCTAAAAATCCACGCCTATAGACCTTTTAGGGCTGGCAAAAATATCTTCTAAAAATCCACGCCTATAGACCTTTTAGGGCTTGCAAAAATATCCTCTAAAAACCACGCCTTTTTACCTTTAGGGCAAAAATATCCTGGCAAAAATATCCTCTTAAAATCCACGCCTATTGAACTTTTAGGGCTGGCAAAAATATCCTCTAAAAATCTATGCCTATTAACCTGTTAAGGCTGCCAAAAATATTCTTTAAAAATCGACGCCTATTGATCTTCTAAAAATCCACGCCCATAGACCTTTTAGGGCTGGCAAAAATATCGTCTAAAAATCCACGCCTATAGACCTTTTAGGGCTGGCAAAAATATCGTCTAAAAATCCACGCCTATAGACCTTTTAGGGCTGGCAAAAATATCTTCTAAAAATCCACGCCTATAGACCTTTTAGGGCTGGCAAAAATATCCTCTAAAATCCACGCCTATTGACCTTTTAGGGCTGGCAAAAATATCCTCTAAAAATCCACGCCTATTGACCTTTTAGGGCTGGCAAAAATATCCTCTAAAAATCCACGCCTATTGACCTTTTAGGGCTGGCAAAAATATCCTCCAAAAATCCACGACTATTGACCTTTTAGGGCTGGCAAAAATATCCTCTAAAAATCCACGCCTATTGACCTTTTAGGGCTGGCAAAAATATCCTCTAAAATCCACGCCTATAGACCTTTTAAGGCTGTCAAAAATATCGTCTAAAAATCCACGCCTATAGACCTTTTAGGGCTGGCAAAAATATCATCTAAAAATCCACGCCTATAGACCTTTTAGGGCTGGCAAAAATATCCTCTAAAAATCCACGCCTATAGACCTTTTAGGGCTGGCAAAAATATCTTCTAAAAATCCACGCCTATAGACCTTTTAGGGCTTGCAAAAATATCCTCTAAAAACCACGCCTTTTTACCTTTTAGGGCTGGCAAAAATATCCTGGCAAAAATATCCTCTTAAAATCCACGCCTATTGAACTTTTAGGGCTGGCAAAAATATCCTCTAAAAATCTATGCCTATTAACCTGTTAAGGCTGCCAAAAATATTCTTTAAAAATCGACGCCTATTGATCTGCTAAAACTGCCAAAAATATTCTTTAAAAATCCACGCCTACTAAAAATCAAAACGCCCATAGACCTTTTAGGGCTGGCAAAAATATCGTCTAAAAATCCACGCCTATAGACCTTTTAGGGCTGGCAAAAATATCGTCTAAAAATCCACGCCTATAGACCTTTTAGGGCTGGCAAAAATATCCTCTAAAAATCCACGCCTGTATACCTTTTAGTGCTGGCAAAAATATCCTCTAAAAAATCCACGCCTATAGACCTTTTAAGGCTGTCAAAAATATCGTCTAAAAATCCACGCCTATAGACCTTTTAGGGCTGGCAAAAATATCATCTAAAAATCCACGCCTATAGACCTTTTAGGGCTGGCAAAAATATCCTCTAAAAATCCACGCCTATAGACCTTTTAGGGCTGGCAAAAATATCTTCTAAAAATCCACGCCTATAGACCTTTTAGGGCTGGCAAAAATATCCTCTAAAAACCACGCCTATTTACCTTTTAGGGCTGGCAAAAATATCCTCTAAAAATCCACGCCTATGGACCTTTTAGGGCTGGCAAAAATATCCTCTAAAAATCCACGCCTATTGACCTTTTAGGGCTGGCAAAAATATCCTCCAAAAATCCACGACTATTGACCTTTTAGGGCTGGCAAAAATATCCTCTAAAAATCCACGCCTATTGACCTTTTAGGGCTGGCAAAAATATCCTCTAAAATCCACGTCTATTGAACTTTTAGGGCTGGCAAAAATATCCTCTAAAAATCCACGCATATTGACCTTTTAGGGCTGGCAAAAATGTCCTCTAAAAATCCACGCCTATTGACCTTTTAGGGCCGGCAAAAATATCCTCCAAAAATCCAGGCCTATTGACCTTTTAGGGCTGCCAAAAATATTCTTTAAAAATCGACGCCTATTGATCTGCTAAAACTGCCAAAAATATTCTTTAAAAATCCACGCCTACTGAAGGATACCAAAAATATTCTTTAAAAATCCACGCCTACTGAAGGATACCAAAAATATTCTTTAAAAATCCACGCCTACTGAAGGATACCAAAAATATTCTTTAAAAATCCACGCCTACTGAAGGATACCAAAAATATTCTTTAAAAATCCACGCCTACTGAATGATACAAAAAATATTCTTTAAAAATCCACGCCTACTGAATGAAACCAAAAATATTCTTTAAAAATCCACGCCTACTGAAGGATACCAAAAATATTCTTTAAAAATCCACGCCTACTGAAGGATACCAAAAATATTCTTTAAAAATCCACGCCTACTGAAGGATACCAAAAATATTCTTTAAAAATCCACGCCTACTGAAGGATACCAAAAATATTCTTTAAAAATCCACGCCTACTGAAGGATACCAAAAATATTCTTTAAAAATCCACGCCTACTGAAGGATACCAAAAATATTCTTTAAAAATCCACGCCTACTGAAGGATACCAAAAATATTCTTTAAAAATCCACGCCTACTGAAGGATACCAAAAATATTCTTTAAAAATCCACGCCTACTGAAGGATACCAAAAATATTCTTTAAAAATCCACGCCTACTGAAGGATACCAAAAATATTCTTTAAAAATCCACGCCTACTGAAGGATACCAAAAATATTCTTTAAAAATCCACGCCTACTGAAGGATACCAAAAATATTCTTTAAAAATCCACGCCTACTGAAGGATACCAAAAATATTCTTTAAAAATCCACGCCTACTGAAGGATACCAAAAATATTCTTTAAAAATCCACGCCTACTGAAGGATACCAAAAATATTCTTTAAAAATCCACGCCTACTGAAGGATACCAAAAATATTCTTTAAAAATCCACGCCTACTGAAGGATACCAAAAATATTCTTTAAAAATCCACGCCTACTGAAGGATACCAAAAATATTCTTTAAAAATCCACGCCTACTGAAGGATACCAAAAATATTATTTTTAAAAATCCACGCCTACTGAAGGATACCAAAAATATTCTTTAAAAATCCACGCCTATAGCTCGGATAAGTCTTCCCAAAATATTCTATAAAAATTCCGAACTTCCTACTAGTTACGTTGTCAACAGATTTTTAATTTTAATATTATCCTGTTAAGGCTGGCAAAAATATTCTTTAAAAATCCACGCCTACTGAAGGATACTAAAAATATATGTTGTTTTTTTAATCCACGCCTATAGCTCGGATATGGCTCCAAAAAATATTCTTTAAAAATTCCGAACTTCCTACTACTTACGTTGTCAACAGATTTTTTATTTCCAAGCAATGACTCTGCCCATCCTTCAACCTTTCCTGTAAATGGTTGATCAGCCGATCACCCACAGCATCAATGGTTCCAAACATTGCCTTTAATTTGCCGGAAGTGAATGAGGGTGTTAATTTGGTTCTCAATGTACGCCATGAGGATCCCTTTAAGCTGCCCAAATTTGCAGACAATGGATCATTTTGCTCATCCACATAAATACCACGATCATGAAAGTTCGCAAAATCCGATGTCAGTATTTGTCGTAACAATTCCGTATCTTTTACTAATAGAACTGGTTTCATGAAGATGTAAGTACCAACTAATTTCTCTCGACATCTTGCATAAATATCAGCCATTATAAGGCCGAAAGGCTTCTCCTTTAGCCCAAGTTTTATTGTCGTCTGAAAGGGGTGATCCGTGGGGAATCCTAATCGCTGCCATTGTGTGAAATTGCGTTTTAATATTAGATATATAAGTGCAATTATTCCCAGCGTAAATAACGTCATCATTTTTGGTACCAACAAAATCGAAATGCACCGGAACGTCGTAATTGAATAAAATTTTTATTTGAACTTGTCATACAAGACGCCGATCAACAACTGAATTAAATTTCGGAATTCATTGGAAAAAAATAACATGCACTGCAATTTTTGTTCGAACCGATTTGTTGCTCTCATTTAATGCATCTAAGAGAGTATAATCTCTTTTTTTAGATAATTGCTGAGAATGGAATATGACATTGAGTTAAATGTTCTAATGACCCCACAAAATGCACATTGGAGTGCAAATAAGAAATTCAAAGCATTAAGCTGCAACGACCATAGCTACTAGTCAATATTAATCACCGTCGTTTGACCGATAACAAAGTGCAGACAAATTGCTTTTGTAAACTTGTTATTCTTGTTCCGCACACAGTGACCGGGCAATAAAGTTGTTTTAGCTGCATATACAGCCGTGTTTATATTCGCCGGTCTCTCACACTGTTAGCGATAAAAAATAATTACCCAGTTGTTTACATTTTATTTTGACTGTAGAATGTAAACAGGTATTGGTTCAAAACTGGTAATTATTAAAAAATATTCGTCTAATTGCAGATTTATGGGCTATGGACTCGCCGATGCCCAAAAAAAATAAGCCTAATATAATATTAATAAAAATGTCTTTGTTTAAACACGTGTGGAGATAATGTAATTGCAAAAACCAGCAAACAAAGATACATTTCGCGAGATATGCGGCATTTAATGTGGCAAAGGTAATATGAGGGTACTGTAGTGAAAGTGCGAATATTTATTATTAAAATAATTATATTTTTTTATGTATTCTCCTGAACGATTTGTAGACGTTTCCATGTTTCAAATGAATTGTGGAAATGCTTTTCCTACCCCGATTCAGAAACTTGACCATGAATTTTATCCAGATATGCGGTCAAGTTTTAGTGAAATCGGTACAGATTTAGATATAGTACCCATACATATCCGATTCTTAGCAAATGGTGCACCAAAGAGTCAAATTTAAATCGATCGCCAAAAAATTTTGCACAACGTACTAACGTTAGTATAGCCTAACATGTGTCAAGTTTTGAAATCGATTCAGATTTAGATATCGGTTTGATCAAGAATGAGCGTCTTAATTTTTTGAACCTTAACTTTGATATTAGTACAAGATTTTTTGACAATAAAATATTCTACAACCAGTGAGCGGAGCAGTATAGTCGGACGGGGCCGACCATATGATACCCTACACAACTTCCACGAAAGTCTAACTTTGTGTAGTTTTATGTTCCGAGCATGGGCAATATTTCGCGATATTTGCACCCTCTTGACGAACTAGAGGTCAACAAATATTAATAACATTCAGTACATCCTTGTTGTGAAGTTCGGCTATCGATTGTGCGCTTTAGATCGACTCAAAATTACACAAAAAATAAATTTTTCGGTCCACTTTATCCCAAAACTATTATCTGATCATCACCGAAAAATATCCTTGACCATACCTGGATCCTCATGAAAAACTTTAAAGCGATTAGCTCTATATTTCCGCCCTCTAGTGTGGTAATGGGTTACTAAATAATATATGAATACGTAACCACCTGTAAATATTTATGTGTAACTCCCACATCCGGGTACATAGGACAATATAAGTGGTTTCGATTTAAAGGTCAACTACTCTTCTTCGATATACTATCAACATTTTGGGTCTATGTCCTTCAGGAGTAAATATATACGCTATAGAAGACAAATTTTGTAATTTTTCACACAAAAGTCAGGGTCCATTTGACCCGCTAAATATTGACCGATCTTTATCAAAACAGGCATGCTTTTTCTTTGGCCAAATCCCCTTCTCCTTGTAAAAATTCGCGATGTTTGGGCCATAATTGCGGCCTCTGGAGCGACCAGAAAATCAGACAAAAATAAAGTTTTTGGTCCATTTCACCCCCTAAATATTAACCGATCTTTACCGAAAACAATAGGGGTCTTCATTGGCCATAAGCCATCCTACATGCAAAATTTCGTGAAGATTGGTCCATAAATGTGGCCTGTATCGTGTTTACAAATTATAATGGACAGACGGAGGGACGGACACACATGTCTAGATCGACTCAGCTAGTCGAGATATGACTTAAAGGTGGGTCTAGGACCAATATTTCGCGGCGTTACAAACTTTTGGGGCTGCACAAAGCTATAATACCCTGACAACATAGTTGTGTAGGGTATAAAAATATATGGTTTGGAATAGAACAAAAATTGTGTAATGCTTTAGCACCGAATCCACTTAGTTGGGCAAATTAAATGTTAGCTTGAAACTCGAGAAGCATCAAAAGAGCTCGACAACACAGCCAAGTACCGTCAGCCTGGTCTAATCGCACGGTATATCACACTAGCAAAGTGCCCGCTACTTCGTATGAGGAAAGGGAATAACAAAAATTCATATGGAAATCGTGAATACTGTATAATTTGTTGTACATCTAATATCAAGTTTATTACCATTTAGTACTCTTCATACACATAAACTCTATTTTTCGAAATCTCTTTCTTATTTCCATTACAAAAAAATAGGTCAGAATTCCAATTATATATTTCAGCAAATTCGTACAAGTTCCACATTATTTTCATTTAGCACTTTTCGAACACATAAGTACACATTTTCAACACTACCTTCATACCATCACCACCACTAAATTTAGTACCAGTTAGTACCAAAAACCCTTTGGCACTTCTTTCTAACTCTCCGTCAGTGACCCACATTTTAAATTTTAGGTTTCCAGCTCTCCGTTACCCAAATCCAAATTGTTTCAAATTTTGTGAATTTTCTATTCTATTTACTATTTGTTGTTTCCATAGCTTGTTTCAATAGCTTGTAGTATTCATCAATAATCTTAATTCCAAATCTCAGGATTCAACCAAATCCAAATTGTTTCCAAATTTGGAATCATTTAGTACTTTTCAGACTCCTAAGTAAGAATTTCTAAAACTACATCAATCCTACACTCTAACAGTAATCTTATTTTCACCAAAGTCCAACTTGTACAAAATTTAGTACTTTTCGTACCAGTATTATATCAGATTTGATACCATTCTGTACGTTTTGTACCCGTATTCCAAACCTATCTCAATATTCCAAACCTCCGTTCGATTATTAATCGTAAGTGCAAATTCCAGCTCTGCCTATTCACCAAATTGTACCAGATTTGGTACCATTCTGCACTTTTCCTACACTCCCACGGTAAGCTATGTTGCCACTTTCTGGATTCGAGTTCTACTCGTTCACCAAAGTCAGAATTGTACCAAAGTTTGTGCCTTTCGTACCCATATCTACGAATTTCCAAAACTACCTCAGTCATGCACTCCAATAATAACCTTAAGTCCATATTTAAGGATTCCAGCTCTATCAGTTTACCAACATCTAAATTGTACCAAAATTTAGTACCATTTACTTTTCGTAGACGTAAGTACGAATTTCTAAAACTTCCTCAATTCCACACTCCAACAGTAATATTAATCATAAATGTCATGAGCCCAGCCATAGATCCACATTGTACCATATTTAGTACTTTTCGTACACTATCGAATTTCCAACACCATCTCAATCCTGTACTCTAACAGTAATTTTATTTTCAAATTTACGTTTTCCATCTCTATCCGTTCACTCAAATCTAAATTGTACTAAACTTAGTACCATTTCGTACACATAATGGCGAATTTTCAAAACTACTGATATATCTCAATCCTGCACTCCAAATGTAATATTAATTCAAAATTTCAGGATCTCAGCCCTATCAGTTTACACAAAATCAAATTGGAAACTATTTGGTACTATTTAGTTGTTTTTGTTTCTATAATTAAGAATTTCCTAAACTACGTCAATCCTACACTCCAAAAGTAATTTTAATACCAAAATTCTGCAGTCCAGCTCTATCCGTTCACACATAAAGTTCTATCAAATATAATACCAATTAGTACACATAAGTACTATGCTTCCATATCTCAATTCTATATTCCAACAGCAACCATTATTCCAAATTGTAGGTTCACCCAAATACAAATTGTACCAAATCTAGTGCCGTTTAGTACTTTTCGTGCACATAAATACGAATTTTCAAAGATGTCTCTATAGCTCAATCTTCCTCTCAAGCAAAATCCAAATTGTACTAAATTTAGTTCCATACAGTACTTTTCGTACCAATAAGTTCGAATTTGCTAAACTACACAACTACCCTACACAACTATGTTGTCAGGGTATTATAGCTTTGTGCAGCCCCAAGAGTTTTTAACGCCGCGAAATATTGGTCCTAGACCCACCTTTAAGTATACCGATCGTCACATCTCGACTAGCTGAGTCGATATACACATGTGTGTCCGTCCGTTCGTCTGACCATTATAATTTGTAAACACGATACAGGCCACAGTTATGGACCAATCTTCACGAAATTTTACATGTAGGATGGGTTCTGGCCAATGAAGACCCCTATTGTTTTTGGTAAAGATCAGTTAATATTTAGTCCGTTTTTCTGGTCGCTCCGGAGGCCGCAATTATGACCCGAACATCGCGAAATTTTACATGGAGTAGGGGATCGGGGCCAAAGAATAAGCATGCCTGTTTTGATAAGGATTTGTCAATATTTAGCGTGTCAAATGGACCCTGATTTTTGTGTGAAAAATTACAAAATTTGTATTCTATGGCGTATATATATGGTCGTATGTACTCAGATGTGGGAGTTACACTTAAATACTTACGTACTGAGATATTATTTAGTAACCCATTACCACACTAAATGGCGGAAAATAGCGCTAATCGCTTTGAAATTTTCTATGAAGTTCCAGGTATGGTCAAGGACAACGCTTATAACTTTCGGTGATGATCAGATAATAATTTTGGGATGAAGTGGACCGAAAACTTATTTTTTGTGTTTTCTTTTTCGAGCCGATCTATAGGCCACAATTTAAAACCCAACATCACAACATAACTCACGGTAAGGAGAATCTGGACAAGTACAGCCCTCGTCTACAGA